TCCGGTGGAGATCATTTGGAGTCATGTTATTGGATATCATCGGCCTTAGTCTTTCAGAGCCTTGATCCTAGTTTCCATCTCCTTTTGCTTATCAGAATTATAACTCGCCTTTCCAATCATCTCGAGCTCTGCCCAAATTTTATTGTTTTCCTACCCAACCTAAGTCAGCAACGCAGTCCTAGAAGGCAAATTTTGATATTTCGTTGAGATCGCTGAATCAATTTTCTCAATCAATCTGCCATCTCTTCCCACTGCTTTCCTCTCTTTCTCAAATGTTTTCTTCTCATTTTTCTCTCTCTGCAGCCTCTCCTGCTTCTCTTTAGCCTTTTGTTATGTTTCTGCTCTGCATCGTTCCTTCTCATCACACTTGTCATCCACCAATTCTTGTAGAAGAGTAGGCATCTCACTGTTATGTGCCTGATTGAAAACGAATCCAGCATAGCATACACATGTTGCCATACACATGCGAAATTGCAAGTAGACTTGGAGAGAGAAAATCCACACCAAACCGGATGATGAAATTGCACAGCGGAAGCACACAAATACCAAAAATAGAATTGAAACGAAATCAATTCTAACTTACCGTCTCTCCCAGTTCAATCAACAGCACAAYTCCAAGAATCCCAACMACGTTAACAACATCTATGAACAAATTATTTACAGAGTTTCATCGAGGGAGACTTCTTCTTCMTCCCACACCTTCGAGCTCACAGCTATGGCGCAGGCCTGCGCCCAACCTATCAAGCCCACTAATCGCCACCAACYCTTGTATCCCCAAACAGTCACTCAGCAGTTCAACCGCGATGCCCACTGCAGATGACGTGTCCGATCAGCAAAGGAGGGAAGCTCCCTAGACRAAGAAGAAGCACAACARCTCRATGAAGATGGTGACCTGCCACTTCGAAGCAGACATGGAAAAGCTGCTTCGATGGCAGCTGTCAAAACCCTAACAGAACAGCGGTGGAGGAAGCATCTCACAAAGCAGGGCCTGATGCCCCGGGGCCAATTCCACACAAGCCAGGTAAGCCCAGCTATGGCTGTCAGCTTCCCTTCCACGAGGAAGGAGGAGCAGCACTTGGAATTAACGCAGCTTCAGCAGCRACCTCCAGCAGCACTTCSTGGTGAAAAAAATGACGAACAGAACCCCTAAAACYTTGCCCTCGGTACTTTTGTTCATCTCCAGCCTCCCAGACCCSACAGCCTACAGCTTAGTTTTGCATCTACASCCTAGGACTGCATCTAGACAGAAAACAGCACCAGAGGGGAGAGGCCTACGTTCCTCCTACTGAAACAACCCAAARCAGCCCGAAGGATCTATGACCAGCCAACAGAGACTGCTGCTGACAGGTCTAGGGATCGAGTCCAACAAGGCTCAAAATAAACAGRCAAACACAGCCAACAAGCAAACAAACAGACAAACAGGTTGCGGGATCAAATCCCGAAGGACTCAAAACCAGGCAACATCAAACAAGGTTAGTGTACAGCTCGCATGCCACTGCAATTCATTGCATCACCATCTCGTTGATGGACCATCTGCTGTGGTCTATCATTTCTCCATGTCGTTCGGTCAATGCGGGCTTGAAATGTCACTGAACTTGTGGTTGTTGACACACTCGAGCCTACGGGGGAGGAGGGAGCAGGGGGGATGAGAGGAAGAAGAAAAGTGTTGGTGCGGACCTCTGCAAGGACCAGGGAGGGAATCATATACCCAGTGGCTATAATCGCCACACACCATATAAGGTTTGGGAAGGCATTTTCCCATTGCCACCATAGCCAGCCATCTTGTAGAGTCTGTTGCTCAAGCACTCCCACAAGACCAAGTCAAAAAGAACTAAAAAGTACATGAGACCAATCATCCGACAAGGTCACAATTTAGAACGGAATATTGCTAATATGTGTGCCTCCCTCGTTGTAACCTTACTTCACCGTTGTTACGAATAGGTAGCTGACTGTACACCAAGGAATTAAATACTCAAAGGGCTAGCCATCTATTGAATGCTGGGAAAGGAGCAACCCCACGGGCAGGACCGACAAACGCCATCACATGACATACCCAGTAAGACGACAGCTCAAAGTGATAGAGGTCAACTCAGGCGTCAAGGCTGAAAATAAAAATATACGTGAAGAACATAGTGAGGCAGGGGATGCCTTCGTCAGGAAGGACTACATGCTCAAATTTCATGATTGGTTGCAGATTGACCCCGGGATGCCACCCGGAGGAATTTCAGGACATGTTTCCACCGTCTGAGAAAGCTCCGGTGGAATTACAATGGTATGTTCTGGATGCATAGGAAAGGCCCACTACGTGGGTGGCAGAACTCCAGGGTGTGAGTCTGCTAGCAATGTCAAAGCCTATCTGGCGGCCGCTTTCAGGCTGAAGAGGCAGGCTTCTATACATCTTATCATGTATCATGATCTTTGTATAAGGAACTCTGGACCAGTTTTCCAGCAGGTGCAGCTCCCCAACAATGGATTGGAGTCGTCATCTGAAAAGCTAGTGGCGACTTCTCATACCATCACCACTAGCAATCCCAGCAGATGTAAAAAATATTAAAGAAAAAGGTGTGAACAATTAGACAACTAGTGACTAAACTTCCTAGCTCTGGCTTTCCCTGACATGTTTCTGCCGGCGCCAGAAATCGACCATCATAACTGTTACAGTATTCCTTCAACTTGCATCTAGGATGATACCAACTCCTAAACCTGACAGCCGGAAACTAAGCAGGAATACTTGACACTTCCCATGTAAGAATTTAGAAAAAATCTAACGAGAGTTCAAGTCGTAAGCAAACTGGGTCCAGTAAAGATATCGTGAACAGTCCAGCACAAGAGTTCAAGTTCTATGTCAGTAAAAGATACCAAGGACAAAAATAGTCGTCAAACAAGACAGATAAAAGGCTGGTGCACAGAATGGTAAACTGAGGGAAAGGGTTAGGTACCTAGACCAGTAGTTCCGAGACGTCAAACGACGTAAGAAAAAAAAAAAAGATCGGTAGTTAAAACCCGTTGAAGCACTTGATCGGACAATAGCTGTAAGGCAATCTTTCCCTGCTACTTCTGAATGCAAAATCGTTTTTTTTTTTTTTTTTTTTGAAAACACCAGCTGCCATAGCTAGGCGTGATGATAAGAGCACACACCCCTAGCTGTCTCACTGGTGACTCTGTCCCATTGGCGGGAAGTATCACCTGCTAGAAAGGGGGTCCAGCGTCCCGTGAAATACAAATCAGAATGTAATATGTATATATGAGAAATTGAATGGTGAAGAATACGCCTCTACAGCCCGAACAGGCCGCCAGGGGAGGAAGAGGGGAGGGGGGGGGGGGGGGGGGGGGGGGGGGGGGGGGGGGGGGGGGAGGAGCGGGGGCCAGTGAACATACAACGAAGAACAGAACCAAAAGTCGTCCACATGGGTTTGAACCATTTTCAAATTCTGATTATAGCACACGAGTTAAAACTTAAAATCTGAACATGAACTTGGTTGTTTGTTCAGTGGTTGGTTTGGTGGTTCGCTGGTCGGTGGTTTCTTCAACTTCATAGATCGTTTGATGGTTGGTTTCTCGGTTGTTCGATTGGCTGGTTGTTTGGTTGGTTGACTCGACAAGTTGACTGTTTGATTGCTGGTTTAGTTGCCGTTGGTTGTGGGTTGTTCGTTATTGTTTGTGTTGTTGCCTTTGCAACTGTTGTTGTCGCTGGCGCTGATGGTGCTGCTGCCGCCACCGCTGTGAAAATATATTTGGGACATTGTTGTAGGCACCGTGTGTTGCTGCTTCCCAGGCGATCGTAAAGACCTTGACTTGTTGAAAAAAGAGACGAATCCAATGTTCTTTCGCTCATGACTTCAGAGAGCAATGTCATGTATCATGGGAGCATGTGATGCCACAATCTAGGTGCTTCATGGTTGACAGTATGGACTTCGAGAGACTTGCAACTGTTCGGGTCTGAGAGGACCATCTGTAATTTGAGTAATGCAAAACTAATTCTGCTTCTCGCCTGGCACTCAAGAGTGGAGAAGAAGCTTGCATCGCCATGGATGGGATTTAAACCATGAGAGGGATGCTGTAACATGTAAACATTGTACGGTTATCGGAAAGGTGCTCTATAAATTATGGTGTTTTGTAAACGTTTCCGTTCCTACCTGCTTGGCTTGGAACGATTAAGATATCATGAGCAACAGTTCTCACTGCCGCTGTTCTTGTGAAATCTGGACAATTGGAAGTGATTTGTGGTGGGGTAGTTTGCAAACGTTCATGATCGAGATACGAATGCCTTGATAGCCAAAGTGGATGACAATAATGGAAAATCCAAGACAACATTCAAAATGATAGCAGATGATGGTATAAGTGGAGGGTACAAACCTCATGGTGGCATTTCAACACTTCAAAGGACAATAAAGCTGGTTAAATATGATGGCCACGAGGGTGCACAATCTTCAAGTCCTTTGTGGGTGTTTAGTGAAAAAGTTTGCAGTGTTGAAGGCTCTGTCAGTGCAGAAGCAGGCAGGCGTTCTGCCGATATGTGTATATATCTATATCTATATCGTCACAAACAGAACTGCCCGGTAAACCGTAGGCAGAGAGAGAGAAGAGGACAACAAACGAGGGGCTGTGACAAACTGTTTCGTCGGCGTTTCACCGACTCATCAGGAGGCTGAACCCTCAACAGTCTGCAGAATCCCCTCACTGATTACACTGTAAATGATAATCTACCTTAACCAAAATCAAAGTAGACTATCACTCACCCACACCAGATAGAAAACTCTACAGACTGTCGGTTCACACCCCATCACAAGCCAGCAAAACATCCACGAAACAAAGAAAGGTCTGTCACAGCCAAAAAATACACTCCAGGCAGGCAGGCAGGCAGACAGGCAGGCAGGCAGGCAGGCAGGCAGGCAGGCAGGCAGGCAGAGAGAGAGAGAGAGAGAGAGAGAGAGAGAGAGAGAGAGAGAGAGAGAGAGAGAGAGAGAGAGGGCAAGAAAGGGTTCTGAGCATAGATTTACCTTTTCCACCAAAGACACCCATAGTTCCTCCCCATCTGTGCTCCGTGCAAAAATTGGTTTGGTTGTGGATGGTAAGCATGGGACGTGGTCGTCAACGACAACCTGTTCCAGAAAACAAATGCAATCAGCTCGGAGAAAATAGTTCCGAGTACAGCACAGTACAGAAGCACTGCGAGCAGGATGTGATGGGGGCGAAAGCGTCTTCAGTCAGGTCTTGCTTGCTTTTTCGTCACCTGTACGACTTGCTCAACATTGCATTCATTCCTGTTCGGATAGATACTGTATAATCATAAGAGCCTCCTTCAAGGTCATTCATCCCCTTCACGGAAAAAGAACTTTAGAAGGCCATCGAATCATGCACATTTAGGGCACTTCAAGTGATGTGATGTCTTTGCGCACAGGAATCCTAATAAAACATGCAGTTCACAGATTGAAACCACTACCCAAGTCCTTCGGGACATCCGTTAAAATTGGAACGATACAGAGAAGATTTCATTGCCCCTGCGCAAGGATGACACGCATAAATCGAGAAATGGTCCAAATTTAGGAGGGGGGGGAGGGGGGGGGGGGAACCCACTACCCAAGGTTTCTAATGCATGTCTTCAACTGTGAGGAATCGTGTGCTCGTGACTGTGATAATCAACGACCTATTGTTGGACAGTAGGAATCAGGATGAAAATGCTAAATACTAAAACAATCAGTTGTGTGATTGAATGTTTAATCACAAACCAGATGCAACATTCAAGAGCACTGTGCCCGAAGGAAGCAGGAACGAAAATCAAATCACACTGCATTTTGAGTGAGAGAACAAAGTGAAACGATCCCGCTCTGAATTCACATCCACTTGGCACACATGCATGCTCACAATTGGCACACCAAGGTCGCACTCAACGCAACAAGATGAGTGAGGACCACATGACTAGTCGAATTTATCCCTACCGGTAGTCCTAGTGAAGGGAAAAGCGGTCCTCGCACGATGCCACCTGCGGGCCCGAGAAAATTCAGGGGGGAGGCGGCACCGGAGGGCCGTACCGCGCTTGGGATCCGTTCGAGGACCGATTCCACCAGCGAAGGATTTCGCTGGAAATGCGGCGAAAGGGGGGGGCGGAAATTGTGCACCCAGGGACGACATAACGAGCGGGGGCAGAAGGATGGGGAATGACGAGGAGGGGGAGGACTATGAACATGAATGGGAGGAGAGGGGCCGGGAGGAGGAGAAGCGCCGTGGAAGGAGGAACGAGAGGAGGAGGGTCAACATAATGAGCGGGAGCAGGAGGATGGCGAAGGGTGGGGAGGAGGAGGAGGTCGATGAACACGAATAGGAGGAGAAGGCTCAGAGGGGGGTGGAGGAGGACGAGCGCGATGAGGAAGGAAGGGAAGAGAATGCAGCACAAGTGGGAGGAGGGGCGGGAGGAAGAGGGACAACATAGCACCCGGGAGCAGGACAATGGGGAAGGATTAGGAGGGGGAGGATGACGAACACGAAGAGGAGGAGAAGCGCGAGGGGAGGGGAGGGGAGGGACGACATAGCAAGCGGGAGCAGGAGGAAGGATGAGGAGGGCGAGGACGACGGAAACGAGCAGGAGGAGAAGCGGGAGGAGGAGGAAGATCGCGGTGAGGGGGGAGAGGACGCAGCAAGGAGTGGAAGGAGGGACTGGAGGAAGAGGGACGACATAACCAGCCGGAGCGGGAGGATGGGGAAGGGTGAAGGGGGTGAGGACAACGAGCATGAACACGGTCATACTTTTTTTGTGGAGGTGGGTAGAGCGAACATGACAACACACACACACTACACATGACGATGATGAGGACAAGGATAACACCAGAAGAGGAAGACGATGGCGGAGACGGAGGAGGGACGAGGATGGTGGAGGGGGATGAGGGAGGCCAACGATGGAGGGAGCAGAAGGGAGAAGGGCACAGTCATGCTTTTTTTGTGGAAATGGCAGCTGGCAGGCAGGCAGGCAGGCGGGCGGGGAGTTTTTTTTTTCGATGCACGACTTTCCCGACGTTCTACAAACAGTTTGGATGTTGTGGAATGCTTTCCTTTTCCATTTTTCCCTGCCATTTTCTAAACGCCTTGCAGGGAGCGATCCGCTTGGTCCATTACTCAGCGGATGGGGAAAATGACAAAAGTGAGAATGAATCTTCAGCTGGAACACAAAAAGATACACTGGAGAGAGAGAGAGAGAGAGAGAGAAAGAGGGAGAGAGAGAGAGAGAGAGAGAGAGAGAGAGAGAGAGAGAGAGAGAGAGAGAGAGAGAGAGAGAGCACTCCGCCGCTGTGCCACCCGCCGGCGAAGCCGCGGTGGATCCACTTGTTATGAAAATAGCAAAAAATACTGTTGGAGCTCCCGGTAGAATACACTGGGCCTGGCTCTGTCGGTACACCAACGAACTGTTGAAATAAACAGACTCAAGTTCGAAGCCAGATGCAATCACAAGAGAAGAAAAAATACACTGGCAGCTTTGGCTGCCCTTGGCTCAATCCATGTAAGCTCTCCTCTCTCTCTCTCTCTCTCTCTCTCTCTCTCTTGGATGTCTTTAACTTCTCCCGTCACTGACTTTCATGGATCGCCTTGTTCTATGGCTGCGTAACTGTTTATCCCGAGCACAACCTGAGGCTTACCAATTAGCATCACGTTCTGAGAAAAGGTTTCGACGTACCTTTCGCCATTCCCCATGCTTGTAGAACTGCACAGTGTACAGCCCGTCATGCCTCTTGTCATCGCTGACGAGCAGGTCAAGCAGAAGACTTTCATTGGAAGCAACCATGGCCAGTGCACCAAGAAACCATGTATTATCCAGCATGCTCTGCCACAACGTAACGGTCCCACACGGAAAGGAAAGAGTGAGGCATTCAGCGAGCCGTGAGTTGGAAGTAGTTCTCATTTCTGTCCTCAGCTGAAGTGCTAAGACCCGAGTCGTATTGCGAGTGTGATTAACACTGGACTACTTCCCCGGGATGGAAGCAGCCATGATGGCCATCACCCTATGCTTCAATAGAAATAATTGCAAAGTTCAAGAAAAGTCAACATCTTTCTCGGTGCTTGCACACTTGGAAGACTGGAAACATGTGTGCACAGCAGTCAAACTTCATTCATGACGTCCGGCAACACTCTGGAGAAGGTCATGGTTGGCAGTTCTTACTGCCCTACAATTTGATTTTAAAAACACCTATGTTTGTGCTATGACCACCGTGCTGAAGCAGACCATAGGAATTCTTATGGGAAACTCCTCTAGTCCTTCCCTCCCACCAATGCTCTGTATGTTGGATGAGTACACTTTCCTCTCCTCGCTGGGCGAGGACGGGGCTTCCATCAATGGTGTTCAATTGGTGGATGGCGTTTCCATTGTTGCGGAGTGTATTTTCTCAACGTCGGATCTCCTATAAGCATGATCAATCGACTCTCAACTCCTTTGCCACCCCTTACGGCAGCAACTTGACTCTTCAACGTATCAGTTCTGGATGGGAAGGGGACTTTCTGGGATGTAAGCTGCAAATATTTGGCCACCCTGCAGGGATTCTTTGTCAGCCACTGCGTTGAAATCAGGGCTCTCTTCAAGTCCTCAATAGAGTCAATACTTTTGTCTATCAAGCCATCCAAGACTTTCAGTCCTTCTCAAGTTAACCGCAGAAATTTCCCATGATTGTTGGGTCTTTTCTTCACGGGCAAAAACATTTGCTACTATGACGACTTCTGAACCACTCTTTTTTTTTTCTTCTTTTCTTTTTTTTAACAAACAGCCCGATTCGGGGTGCTGGTAGGAGCAGACACCACTAGCATCACCGGGGAGGCTCCATCTATTGGTGGGGAGCAGCACCTGCTGGAAATCGGGTCCAGCGTCCCTGAACATTTGAATAGATTGTTTAGGCAGACGAGTGATTGAAATGACAACAACTTGCAGGATCAACCTGTAGAGACAATACTCTAGCAGCCTAGTAGCAGGTAGACCTACCCAGTAGCCTAAGATGATTGCCTACATGTCAGTTTGGGATTGGTGGTCGCATACACAGGCCCGATTTGATTGTACAAATCCAACTGTGGTTTCCGGGCGAGCCATCTACGAGTTAAATCTAGCTGAGATACCTTTGCCACCATAGTGTCCACATCACTGCCCGTCTTCCAAGCCTGTACATGTTCTCTGCAAAGGCTGAGACCTCCTGTAAGGGCTGTGAGTGTCCAGTCAAAATCGCCTGCCAGGACCATGGCCAGGGGATCTCCAGTCCCATTTTCTACCATTTCCGATCCAACCATCTCCAAGTAAATTGAGCCATCGGACATTGCATAAATATGAGTTCGATTGTTTCGGCCCTTTGGGGGGGGGGGGAGGGGATGCTCACAGGCACCGTGAGGCTTCAGCACCAAGGTGACACCAACACTTTCCGTTCCAGGTTAGTGTGGTCCACCAGCCAGTCGTTCGTTGGTAGATCATGATGCGCTATCTACCATTACGGCAAAGTGATCTTGGCTGATTTGGCTTTCCGTTCCTGGAACCATCGGATCCGCCGGATCGGTGTGAGGAGGGGATAGTCCACGTTAAGGTGCCCTGCGCATCAGTCATTCTTCACAACTCTCGGTTGTCCCTTGGGTCTAAGCATCCTATTAGTATGATTCCTATATGTGGATTTCACTGAAAGTTTATGCTGACTGATCTGTCGGGGGGGAGGGAAGCGGTTTGTCGTTGGGGAGTCGTCCACCACTCTAGCCGGTCAACACTAGTTCGTGGATGACTGTTCGTGGTTGGAAGACTATGTATTAAGTGGATGACTGCTTGTGGTTGGAAGACTATGTATTAAGTGGATGACTGTTTGTGGTTGGAACTATGTATTAAGTGGATGACCGTTTGTGGTTGGAAGACTATGTATTAAACGAAGACACATCCGAAAATTGCACCGAAGTCGAAATTCAAGAAGATCCCCATAACTCCTCAGGAATTCTTTAACGTCACAGTCAGGACGACGTGATCAGCAGAGTCTTCTCAAGACTTATGACAGCTGGATGCGCAGCCTACAGCTCGGATTTCAGGCCTACCATGCCACACTGAACAGCCCGCCGGTCTGTACCAGTCCTTGGGGGTCTTGTCCCCGGGACGTGTCAGTCGTCAGTCATGGCCTTTAGCCCTACTCAGCCCGTGCAGGTTTGGTCACCACAGCTCTACGACCACATGCACAGAGTACTATCACCTAGAAAGAAGTGACTCAATGCAGAAGAAGAGACAAACTGACTCAGTATGTGCACATCCAAAGGGCGAGGGGAAAGGCTTTAAGGCTTGGTGAGATTATACCAACTCCAGCTTGGTCAAAGTCTTGGTCCACGCCTTCAGTCAACAGCCAAAGTTGGTCAACGTCCAGTCAAACTTCGTCGGTCAACTCTTTGACCTCCGGCTATAGCTGCCGACCCTTCTCTCTCGTCAACCTTTCCTGTCTTCTTCCCCATTTTTTTCTTCTTCTTCGCACAACCTCGGATATGGCTTCCTTCTTCTTCCTCGTCTCTCTTCTTTGTCACTTCCGGTTTTCTTCCTCGTCAGGTCCGAGCTCAGCAGCTATGGCCGCCACTTTCTTCTTCGTCTGCGCAACCAATCTTGTATTCTCAGAGTGTCTGTCTCTCTCTCTCTCTCTCTCTCTCTCTCTCTCTCTCTCTCTCTCTCTCTCTCTCTCTCTCTCTCTC